ACCATCGAACTCTGTTTTTGTCGATCTGTGTTTGCAGTTCAGTAGCTTACCATCCATGCCTCATCAGTAAAATAAAGAGCTTCTGTATAGACTAATACTTATGTGAATAGTGTGAGGACTACCTACTGGTTAGAAGGCAGAAGGTAAGGGTTAGTAGTGTCGAGAGGCGTACCTATGGGAGATGTACTGGGCCTCTCTTTATTTCTATTATACATAAATGAAATGAAAGCTAGGTAGCTTGTCTTTCGCATAGACAATCATAATTGGTTGACTGGAGACTGACAAACGAATGGTGGCTGCCGTATAAGACCGTTTTATGGCAGTAGATAATCTAAGGTGTAGGACTTTACTAGCCACGTGTCCATCGCATTGGAGTTTCAGGAACAACTCTTTCTTCTTAACAGTGGTTCTTTCTCTTCGTTTTACGTGGTACCTGTGTGTCCCTTTACGAATCCACCAGGATGACCCATTCCAACCAGAGCAATATGGGCGTATCCTGATTCGTTTACAAAGGAATCATCAGTTCAAATCCTCTCTGTATTCGTGAGGTACCAGACCGAATTGACTTAGTGTCAGATGGGTACGAAACCGAATAAAAATGCATACTGCCTTATTTTGTCTTTCTGAACCATGAAGGAGAGTTTCGTTAGTAATGCGTTAAGTTGTCTGGTTGTTCGTCCTGTATAGCTTTCTCCGGCACACACGTTCTGACTCCAATTATAGTGGAATTATTTGAAACTTGGAGGAATCGAAAGAATTAGATCCCAGCTGTGGCGGTTGGCTCTATTATTATCGACCTGCTTCCCGAAACAACGAATGGACTCCACGTAAGAAAGGCCATCAGAACCGTCAGATGAAGTACTGACGCCACGGAAAGTCTTCGACGACTAATTAAAAGAGCACTAGGAAACGAGGTGAAAAAATATATTATTTTCAAGGAATGTATTTAAGATCAAGGACCTTTCTTGTGTATACAGATCCATAACTACACGCAAGAGATGTCAACTGCGGGAGGGCGATTGCGTGGAGAAAAGTAGATGGGAGCACAGTATCCCAATGTGGATGTGTTGATCAGGTACGAGGCAGAGTTTGGTTGGCAGATGTGAAAGGCAAGAAGCTGGAGAGGGAAGGAGCTTCGTTGCTGCTGCGCGCGGAACCAGGTTGTGTCATTGTTCAATCTCATGTAACAACCATGATTTTCTGTGAATTCCTTATTTTTACTGTCTTACGGTGAACGTATAATCTGATATTTTTCGGCCGCCGCATGGTTTGCCAAAGATCAGGGGTCTTCACAAACTAAATGTCTAATGAATTTTATCTTCTTCGGGCTACATTTAGTAGCGGATATGGCAATGATATTTAGACTTCCATTACTTTTATCTTATTTAAATCACGCTGTCATTACATCGGTATAATGTACAAGTCAGCGTTCTGGTGTCCTGTTTTTTTCCCGGTCCATGATAAAACATAATTTAAAAAGCTACCTACTCCACATCGAATGGGCGAGTTCCAGGAAATCAATTTGTCCTGCAATGGATTTAGAAAAGTGTACTGGATATGAGATACAAGCTTTTGAGAATAACGGTCTCCCGGGAACTGAAATACCCGCGTGTGACGCACATTTGTTAAGGGCCCACGTCGACCTGCGTCACAGTAGCTCCCTTGGGCAGCCTGTAGACGTTGGTAGGCCATTTGATCAGCTGATGGATATTAGATTTATTTTTTGAAAAAAACTAAAAGTTATGTAATTTTTTGCTGTTTTATACATTTTACACTTATATTTATGCTAAAATTTGATGATATACTGCGTTTTTAGCATAAATAGTACATGATGGTGTCCTTATCCGGCCGTAATTTACGGCCAGTTTACAAGTTGTTGAAATACGTACTTGAAGACACATGTTATAGCGACTTTCTGTCATGTTTTTGCGGTCCAAAGGATTATACATAGACAGTATGATGTAGACTAGTTAGTTTTGTTAGCCATTTTCACTTACTTTGTTGTGTACCTTAGGTGATGGTTTCAAAGTTCCTTCACAAATAATTATTGGAAGAAAATCTACAGAAACACCTAGGAATTATTCTCACATGTTATTAACTCCTTATACTGCACAAATTTCGTTTTTACAGGCAGATGCAATGTCCATATTTTCTGCCTGAAAAATATTGAATGACATAAGCATACACAATTTAGCGCATTATTTAGTATTTTCTATCACTTCAATTTTGTATTGATAATGGTAACAGTGTTTACATCTTTTGATTGCTTAATCTCTTTTTGAGGTGATGGGTATCTTCAGGTATTTCATGGAGTCGGGTGCTAAAGATTTCCTCATTGTCGCTGATTTTGTATTACATGTTAATTCATCATTAAATATATTCCTCTCTGTCAGTCAAGTTTCATAAACCGTTAATGACCAGCTATTGCTATGCTGGGCCTCACGCTGTTCCTCGAAGATTTTCAGAAACGCTTAGTATTAACCGACGCAAAAACCAAAACACTGTTTGGCGACTCAAGAATTCTTTATTCTAACGCCAACATATAACCAGCAATACTGCTTTTACTGAGTAAGGTCTAAGAATAAATGTTATAACAATAAATCACGATATTACTTCTGACAGTTTTTTTATCTTCCTTCTGAACAGCAACCGATGAGACGACGACTGGTGGATTGGTGACTCCGCGAAAAATATGGGAAAGTTGGGTTTGAACAAACAACCATGAATTGATCGTTCAATCTTCAACTACATTGTTTCGCGTTATTCGTTGGTGTGTTCTACTTGATTAGACCGAATATTAGCTCTTGCATAATTTGTGAGTTATAGAATATATGAGGCTATCTTTGAAATACTAAGTAGGAGCAAATATTCGGAGAAGCCTATTGGAAAAAAGATTACCTTGTAGCTAAATAAGGTAAATATGCCCAAATCTCAGAGGAGGTATTGCGATTACAAAGCGCTTCGAGTTGTCTGTCGTCTTAGCAGAATACATAAACTGATTCGAGATTCATAGTGACAAAATGAAAGTAAATCTACCTGAGATAGTTTTCTTGCGATTTCCACATGTCTCAATGCACCATAAGGATAGAATATACCTATACTGCTAGACTTATACCTCAGTGCAACTACGGTTATCGTAAAAATTAAAAACAAAATGCCTATGGTTCCCAGCCACAGAACACGGTACGTTGCTATCTGTTCATCTAATGGCGTAAACAAAAGTTTTTCAGACGCCGCATTTACTCGAAACAGTTTACTCTCAACTCCAACTTAGCATGTGTTACTTATGTTACTGGAACACAATCGCATTGCAGCAGAAGGAACACAGATTCATTGAAAAATTGTCTATTAAACAAAAATTTGATTTCAGATGTACAGATATTTCAGATGAGTACTCCTCCGTTACCGTCAGTAAGTTTCATCTGCGTGCACGGCACATATATGTTTTTCCATAAATCTGAAAAGGTTTATGAAAAGTATTATTAACTTGGGTATTACATGTATGGTGTGAATAGAAAAAGTTTTTTGATAAGCATTTATCAGTAATCACTTTATAAACAATATATATATAAGTAGTTAAATAGTTTTCGCTTAACTTGAGGGTCTTCACAATTTATCGTTGGTCGGTCTCTAGTAAGTCCATCGAAGCATCATGAAATGATGAAATTATTTAATGACAAGTTATGCAGTAGCTTCCAAAGCTTGTACAAAGATTTTAGCAAACATGACAACGGCTTTATGACAAATAATAGGTCTTGACAGCAATAATAGTGACGTTCATGTTCATACTCACCATAGAAACAATAATAGGTATTATTATCGCAACGAATTAATCATTAACTTAGGCAACTAACAATAATAAAATCATATCACATAAATGTATCACTTAACCTTAAGAAGCATGTGTTTACTTACTTTCACTGTATTCTCTCAATACTGATGTACTTAACTAGCTTATTCCAAATGAACCCAAGATTGATTCTGAAAGTGAATGGAGATTCAGTGTATGCCACATACGTTTATGCTGCGTCAACATGCCGTTTTTATCATGATTAACCAGACTGCTGTGTATATTATACTTATTTAAGGATCTCTGAAAATAATGGTCAAGCGATAATTGAAGATGCGTGAAGTTATTACCTCTTCAGAACAGTGTCTGCATTATTGACACTCCTGAGAAGCCCTCACATCTTGATATGGCATGAATTCGTTGAATTCCGCGAATAAATCCATCGGTATATAATTTCTCGGCAACTCTAAAGAACCAAAACCGAAACTACCTGGCGAACGCACAAATGACCTTGACAAGGACAACTTCGACCAATCAGAAGGCTCAAAAAATCGGCGCATTATTGTAATAAGTCGATTATATATAGGGAATGCAATGTTAAAAATAGTTACAAAGGACAACGTTCCCGTATATGTTGCAAAAAAACCTCCCAATTTCTCATAGGAGTCTTGGTTCCCATGTTAAACAAAGTCCTGTGGATAAACTCATTGAGATAACTGTATATTATTGCGTTTCTTGATCCATTCACGGATTTGATACGTTTATTTAGAAGATTCCAGAAACTTTCAATAAAATTAGTGTGATTTCCATCAAAAGGATTGAGAAAACCATTTGTATGGTTGATCACTTGGTGAATATAACCCAGATTCGATAAATGACTGTAACTACTCCAGTCATCTGGGTAAATAGTCGTCCCAGGCAGCTCTAAGCGCTGGATAATAGGCAATAATACACCTGCACTGTGATTACGGATTGCTTCAATATATCTTTTCTGGACGCTGGTGTCATATATCTCCAATACCTATTGCTGATTCACACTCAATCTCCCTCGATTGTATTTTATTATCATAAGTACCTAAGGAATCTGTAAATCATGAACGAACGACATAGGTCCTCGAACAGTCCGTTCTCCAAACCGTAATCAATACAAGATCCGGAGAGAATTTGCAACGTAAAAGGTTTAGAGCATTCATAATTACCTCTGGATATAACAGTCACCTGATTCCTTGCTCAAGGTCACTTGTGCGTTCAAAGGTCGTTTCGGTTTGGGCTGCTATTTTTTAGAGTCGCCCATTTCTCTCGTGGGCTGTAACAGTTTGTGTTGTCAGTTATCTATCAGACTTGATGAAACGCTCATGGAAATTCAGAACCTAACCAGGGAGCTAAATGACGTTTGAAATTACCTCAACTCGAATGACAAACTGGCCAATCACAAGCGAGCGAATCGCTTGTTTATCTCATTTGCGGTCACTCAAAATTACGTCCGCCGCTCCTTGGGTCGTCGTAGATTTTTGAGTTCAATCTACGGTGAAGGAGCATCATTGAAAGACACTACATTGAAAACTTGGAATATATTTGTGTCCGGATATTGGTTGTAAAAATTCCCAAGTAACTGTTTACAATAATAATATATACTCTGAGTGTCTTCCATTGCAACCGGAGCATGCTCCGGTTTTTATTTTGATATTTCGCCTAATCTCTGGGTCTTTTATTGAATTGCAACAAAATTTTTGGTGTGGCAGACGAGTTTCGGACAGGTAACCTGGCGTGGAGCCAGCCCGCTATATGACTGACTAGACGTCGTTCTAAGTGGTTTTGGGATTTCTAGTAGAACCTATGGACATATCCAGTGGTCTAGGTGCACTTATCCGTGCCCCTGAAACAGTTCCCCAGGCAAAATATGACCCTTACTTCAGACAGAATCCAAGGGTTATTGAGGACCTACTATTTGATGAAGAACGTTACCACACAACTCCAGGGTATTGTATTGCTCAACCTCGTGAAAGGAAAATATGGATGCGACGCTGTCTTTTCAACTGGCTTAGAGATATCTCTACAGATCGTGCAACAGATGGTGAGGTTTTAGCACATGCTACGCAGCTAATCGACCGTTATATGCACAATTTTCCTACTGACCGAAGTGAATATCAGCTGGTGGGTGCTACTTGTTTTCTTATTGCCAGTAAGCTGAAGGAGAGCATACCCATTAGTGTGAGGAAGATGTCAGAATATACAGCCCACTCACTTTCGGAAGAACATATCTTGAATAAAGAATTGAATATATGTATGTCGCTCATGTGGGACTTAAATTGTATTACTCCATTAGACTTCATCGCCCCTGTGGTCGAATACTTCGAGTTTGATCCGGATTTGTGTCAGACAATTCGCAAAGTCGCAGTTCGTATCTTCTTTAAAGTTTTCCATGTTGAACAGCTCGGTTACTACATGCCCAGTTACATGGCGGCTGCGTGTATTCTTTATGCACTTGATTTAACCGTACGTCGTGACTTACCGGATGTTACTATCCGTTCAGTCATTCGCATTCAACAAGTTTTGAAGCTTGAAGCTAGTAAGATAGCTGAGGCATATCAAGTTCTTCAGGCTTGTTTTGAGCCTAGAACAATGCAGCTTACTAGAGCTGTATTAGAGGGTGATCTAGAACCTCAAAATAGCCCTGTTCGAGATGTCCCAGTTCACTTAACTCATCATCTGCTTCCTTCTATCGTGACACCAGTTACTGCAATTGTATTACTCCCTGTGACAAATGCAGTTTACATGCATTCACATTCTCATCAGTCTTCTAGTGATATTTCTTCTTTATCAACCTCGATGGTCTCTGTAAATAATAATGTCAGTTTTGGTCGTAGTTGCATACAGACCGCTTCAGGTTCTAATTCAGCTTATTCTACCTCACCCTCTCCATCTGAAGCTGGCACAAATTGAGTGAACTAGAAAAAAGAACTTTCGGTGTACGTACATTAATCGATTCAAGCTATCTATGCCGTTGATGCACTATATCCAATGCGAATGCTTCTATGAGCTTGTGTGAAAGTAAACTCTTCCCGACATGTTGGAATAATTCAGTTACAAATCAGAGAATTTAATGCAAATAAGGTTTTCAATTAATGTGTAATTTTGTTTATTCTGCTTAAGAAAAAGAGCTGTATTTATTCATTTTTTGGTTTGACATTTTACTTTGTACTGCCTACGAAACTTTGTACAGATAGGCTAAACAACGATTTTTCAGACAAAGGAAAGTGTCATTTTCTGACTTTTAATAAAAACTGAACAAAATCATTTTCCTGCTTTCTGCAGCTGTTTTAGCCGTACTGGTTATAGACTCCGTTACATATAAGGGAATTCTAAAACCTGAAGTGCTTCCTGTAAAGTCACCGCTAAAGAAATAAGTCCTGAAGGAATGTGACCTACTAACAAGCCAGTTGTATGGAGCTCTGTCGAATGTTTCTGTGATGTCAGGATACAAAAGTTCTTTTTCATCTCCTCTGTAAATAACTACGATGAAGTAATGCAAAAGGCATTTAGTATATGAACTGGTTTTGAGGAACTGATGTGACTGGTTAGTTAGCATTATATGCTGCAACTACACAACTTCAAAACATGATTTTTATAGTTCTTGCCCTTAATTGTTGTAAGGGTAGTATTCTCCAGATATCGAATCTTCCCTGTTTCTCGTACTCTAGGTTGATTCGGTAAATAAAGCTTTAGTTACCAACTTCAGATTGTAATACTACCACTTTGTCCCATACTACTGTATGATTCTATATGACTGCGTGTAATGCTACAGTTGGGCTTTTTTTCAAATTCCTTATTTTATTAAAGTCAAGTAATCTAGATCACATTAAAATTTTGTGCTCTAGTCTGAATGGTCGTGGCCTACTTTGACTTGTGTATTTGACCTCACTATCTTTGTACGTCACTAGGTAGACTGAATTGTATTTTAGTGGGCGAGAGAGATGGAGAAGACATTGGCGGTTGTTAGCACCAGACAACTATTTAGACTTATCAGGGAAACAGGTGGTAAAAGGCAAGCGATAAGTGAAACAATCTGAGGCAAATGACACCATGATTAGCTCCCAGGGTAGACGACTGAAACGCTGGAAAGAACACTGAGCAGCAGCTTAATTGGCCTACAGCTACGCCCAACTTACCTAACATCCAACACCTCCCTGAATAGGATATAGACACAGGTCCTCCGTCCCTAACTGAGGTTACTAAGGCTGTCACTAGTCTGAAACGAGGCAAAGCAACGAGACCTGATGAAATGACTCCATAGGTGTACGGTTTAGACAGTTAACTGTCTGCGTTAACTAAGGTACTAGGCAGCGTCTGGGAACCAGAGGAAGTCCCGTCGGGTTGATAGTCATTGATTATTCCCATATACTAGGAGAGAGACAAGTCTTCATGCGATAATCACAGGGGGATCAGCTTGACCAATATAGTATCTAAAGTTCTAGGCTCAATAATAATGCGTAGACTAAGTGGTCCATGGTAGGAACAAACACGAGAGAACCAGGCAGGCTTTACACCAGGAATAGGGTGCATTGATCATATCCTCACCCTTCGGCAGATTCTGGGACATAAGCATAATTACTGACCTAAAGGTCAAGAAATATAACGATTGCTGGTGGCATTCGATTCTGTTGACTGAGAGGTAATTTGGCGATGTTTGGCTGTGAACGGAATGCCGAGAAAGTACATCGCACTGATCAAGGCACTCTACTCGATCTGATGCAGCCAGGTGAGAGCTTATGGCGAATTGTCATCTGAAGTAAGGACAACTAGTGGTATCCAAGAGGGATGCCCACTATTTCCATTTTTATTCAATTTCATCATAGATGTACTAATGGAATTAACCCCAACCCACTTCAGCAACTCAGAGATTGACTAGTTACCAGGGAATAATCTCGTTGACTTAGAATTTGCAGATGATATAGTCTTTCTAGGTGAAGACAGTGACAAAATGCAGAGTCTTTTGAACATCTTGAGCTGCAATCTGCGAATGTTTGACATGCGATTCGCTCCGTTTGTCAAAAGCAAGGTGATGCTACAGAACTGGAGTACACCTATTCCTAGCTTAAAGATAGGCAAGAGTGAAGTGGTTGGTGGAGCGTGTTGACAACACTTATTTGGGAAGTTGCATCAGCCCCAAACGGGTTGATCACTGACCAAATCTCAGCACGGATACAGAAGGCTAGTTCCACATATGCCAGTTTACGCCGTCTCTGGCGTAGACGTGATATCGGGTTATCGACTATGGGGCGTATGTATTGCTCATCAGTCCGCTCAGTCCTCTTTTATGGCTGTCAGTGAGACATAGGCATTGAGAGTGGAGGACATGCAAAGGCTAGCTGTTTTTGATCATAGATGCTTCCGTTCTATCTCCTGTGCTAAGTGGTACAATAGGGTGAGCATTATTGAGGTTAGGCGTCAATCGAGTGCTTGGTAAGGAGGGGAAATCAATCGACGAGGCTGTGAAGTTACATCGACTGAGATGGTTAAAACATGTGTTACGTATGCCTAGCCATGGCCTTCCTTGACGGGCAATGTTAGCAGACATAGGGTCAGGCTGGAAAAGAGCTAGCGGCAGTGAAACCAAAACATGGAAGCAGTCAATGAAATCCACAACAGTTAATTTAAGCCAGCCACGTAGGAAGGTGTAGACTTCCTGACTGGTTGGGGTCCTCGGGACGGTAAAAACCAATGGTTGGAGACAATTGGTGATATGGCTCAAAATTGTTCTGTGGCACAGATGCATCCGCTCATTGTGACTCATAATACCCAATAAGACTATATTCTTCTTCGATATTGCTATTCTTTTTGCCTCATCTTCGTTTGCTGTCTCTAGTTTGTTTTTCTTTTTACTTTCTTCCCTTGCTTTTTGTGGTACATGGAGGGAGTGTGGCGACTCGAACTGCTGTACATCTGTGCAAAGTTCTATATTTAAAACAGGCAATGTGGTTTCTCTGAAGTTAAAACAGCACATCTAGGAGGAGAATATTGCTTTCAATCATCTCTTCAGGTTATGTATTAGGCTAATGTAAATAGCTGTATATATGATAATTTGTAATCAATTTCGGTGAATTTACGAGTCAGATATAATATTTCAAGTGTCGTAAATGTATCAGTAGTAATGATGATTACAGCGATAGCAATAATAATGACAATAAAGTCAATAACAACAGTAGTACAAACAGTTCATGCCGATGCCAATAAGGATAGTGGAGTTAATGTGCTGATGGAAGCAGTTCAACCTTTAAATTAGGTTATCCTTATACAGTCAAAAGTTAAGCAATACTAGAGATAAAGTAGGTAAATAATCGGAGTTCAAATAAATATCAGAATAAGAAAGGATGAGAAGTTTCAGTTAGTTTATTAGATTTACTTACACGAAGAGAGAAACAAAGGTAGGATAAACTTGAATAAAAAGACTAGGTTTGTCCTGTGGAATTCCCATAACTTCGACTTTTTTGTAAAAGGACTTTGAATAACGCCCGAAACGTTCAGTGGAATGCGATATTTCACCCTGAAGGTGTTTCTTTTGTCCACTTGGTGACTGTTGTCAGTCAAGTGAGACAAAACTGCCTTATTTATTTTGTTTGGCTTTATCTGAACCATGAAGGAGAGTTTCGTTAGTAATGCGTCAAGTCTGGCTGTTCGTCCTGTATAGCTTTCTCCATCATAGACGTTCTGACTCCAATTATAGTGGGATTATTTGAAACTTGGAGGAATCGAAAGAATTAGATCCCAGCTGTGGCGGTTGGCTCTATTATTATCGGCCTACTTCCCGAAACAACGAATGGACTCCACGTAAGAAAGGTCATGAGAACCGTCTGATGAAGTACTGATGCCACGGAAAGTCTTCGACGAATAATTAAAAGAGCACTAGGAAACGAGCTGAAAAAAATATATTACTGTCAAAAAATGTATTCAAGATCAAGGATAACAAGTTGAGAATAAGGCCTAATTGGTTGTCGGTGGACAGGATTAAAAGGGGAGGTAGTCGTAGCGAGATTAAAGGTTCGACTAGAAAAATGATCTTAAAATATTGGGTTTTCAAGTGGTGAGTTTTCGGGAACCTATGTTATCAAGACTTTTATTAATGAGGCGAACAAGCACTTAAATACATCAGTGTGCTGTATGAATACGTGCAGTCTTAGGAATAAGCTCCTCGAATTGGGAGTATTTTCTGAAAAAATACCACACGCTGTTATTGCAACTACTGCTAGTGGGTGTGAACGTCGTTTCCCTCATGCCAGCATACACCTACATTACGGTAGAGAGAGATTAATCGGAAAGGTGGTGAGGTTGCCCTATGCATCCAGGACGAGATAAGAATTAGGTCAACGGTCTCAGAAGCTCATAACAGCGGCATTAGTGTAGCCACTATTTGTGTTAATAACTTGAATAAGGGTACTGTAACGATCAGGGTGATTTGAAGAATTCTGGCGAGCCAAGTTTATGACTTTGCTAAATCACCTGAGGGTGTGGAGTAGTAGAAGTATGTGTCTAGCAGTAGGTGATTTCAATGCTCCACATATTAACTAGGAGGAATTAACAGCAATTCGGTTGTATACTTGTTCTAACAAAGCACTCACATTGACAGTCGTCGAATGTGCATTTTTGCAGCATGTGCACGCTCCAACACAATCCGACCCTGAACGTGATCCTTCTACTCAAGACTTAGTGCTGACACTATAGAATTACTGATAGGCAGTAATGACTTTGTGGTCATTACTTTAAGATTCATGATTCCATATACAGGTTGACATCTCGTTCAAATATTTGGGAGCGGATATATTAGCGATCCGGAATGCAGTAACCCTGGCTGACTGGTTGGTTGATAAAGTGGGACCGTCGAGGAAGCTTGGGTAAGATTTAGGAATACATCAGAATATATCGCCTCACCTTATGTACTTTGGTCTATCTCTCGAAAGCTATCGTATAAACCACCTTGGAATATTAGTGGAATAGAGAAGTTATTAAAAAAGAGAAGTTTATAGGATCGGTTTACTGTTGCAGGAAAGGAGGAGCTTCGAATAGGCTACCGCAAAATTCGGCACGTTTGCAAGTATATGGTTGGTAAGAATCGTGTTGAGTAGGAGAAACAGTTATTGTTGGACTGTGTGCATTTTCCCAAAAGACTGTACTCGTAATTAAACGTAGAACTAAAATTATCAATACTAGGGAGGCGGTCAAATCAGATGAAGCGAAGGCTGGAAATTATTCTAAATCCTTTTATAGTGTTTTCTTGTCTGGTCGTATCACTACTCAGGGGT